GATGATTGCTGCGATAATTCAAGATTTGGTCTGTATGCGTCGCTTTCCGATAAACTGTTGTCTCCAGTTGTACAGCAGCATGTCTTTTCACCAAAACATCCAAGAATGGTAGCTGACAATTGCTCTCTTCTTCTTTAGTGAGACGGATACCAGAAAACGTGTTGTTTATTAGCTGGCGTTTCTTCCACTTTTGAGCGCTTTAGGACGACAAAAGTATCATCCACAGCGTAGCCAGAGTTTAGGTTTTGCGAACGGGAGTGCGGTTTCTTCCAATGCTTGCATCACCGCTTCGGCCACTAGCCCAGATATAGGTGAACCCATTGGCGTGCCTGTTAGTTGTTCGTAGGTTAGGCCGTTGAAACTAAAGTGTGTCGTGAGGCATAAATCCAACAACTCCATCATGTGGATGGCATCTATTTTATTGTTCGTGTCTGAGGATCCGTGTTGGTCTAGTAGTGTTGCCATCGTTTGCTTCGCCAGCTTGGTGTTGATTGAAGTGAACAAAGCTGTTACGTCAAAGGAAAACATGATTTCGTCCTCTTCTATTACTGTTTCCCTGAGCTTAGCAAGGAATTGTTCTGCAGATTGTATGGAATGTTCCGAGGCAGAGATCAGGTGCTTCAATCTCTTCCAGAGTTCCTTGGAAAGCTTGTAATTCGGAGTTCCAGGTAACGACACGATAGGGCGGAGGGGGACTCCACTTTTGTGAACTTTTGGCAGGCCGTAGAATCGCGGTAACACCGAATCCCCTGGTTTCATCTTGCTGTGTTCTAATTTTTTAATCTGTCCCATTCGTTCCAGATTTTGTAGGGTGCGTTTGATTTTGCTTTCCAATCGTTTAGTGGGATATTCAATGGGAGACCTATGCCAACCGGCAATCTTTCATTCAGTAGCAACTCTACTTCCTTCATGAATGCTTGAGAAGACAAGTTCTGCCGTCAAGTATACAGTACCGTCCACCAATAAACAATCCTTTGGCCTGGAAATTCACCGAAGAACACGGACGACGCATGTTACGTATGCTGATCACTGACGCACATAATCGAAGGCAAAAATATCTCCGAACGATTGACTTCCAAAAGGAGTTATGCTTATCCAACCTTGGCATAGAATTGACTAAAGCGCTTGAAGAAGCTCGGACACTGCTGTGCTAGCGGGGGATCTGAACGCATAAGTTGGAAAGTTGTCCACTGATGAAATGCATCTGGGCGGTCAGCACGGTGTAGGCTCCCGTAATGATAAGGGCGAGCGGTTACTTCATTTGTGTGAAGATGCCCGCTTATTTCTTGCGACCACTAACTTCCGACACAGCACCCGCCGGAGGGTGACTTGGCACCCAATAGCCTTGAACCAGCCTTGGACGCAGATCGATCACATTGCTATCAGTTACCGCTGGAGAGGCTGCATTCAGAACAGTCGCTCGATTTGGAGCACATGTGTGGACACCGATCATGCACTTGTATGTGCTGACATGCGGATGCGTTTTGGCGGACGCCCACGACGACGTTGTGAGCGCACTGACACCAGCCAACTGTTCTGAATGCGTATCGCTGACATGCGAGTTGAGTAAGCACTCACTGGAGATAATTGATGGTCACTGGTCACATGTTCTTCAGACCTTACTAGCAGCAGGCAAATATTTATGTGGTATGTCTAATAGGCAGCATGGATATTGGATCTCTTCGCGGTCTCTGGAACTTATCGACGCTCGCCGGCATACCGCGGCTGGAAGCGAACACAATGAAACTCGTCAAAACTCCGTGCTAGCCTTGAGACCGCGAATCTTGGCGGTCTCATCGTGCGTCAAAGATGGAAGTGGCCGCTGCCCTTGGCAATCATCTTATTATTCCGTCTGATACGGGCAGCAGGAGACCTGGTGTTAGTGAAACTATACGTGACGAGAGTGGACAGCCTATCCACAATTGGTCAAAACGCTTGGAGCGTTGTGCTGAGCAATTTGAAAAGCAATTTAATCGGCTAGAATTGTTCGATTCTTCGCCGGCCAGTGATCGACCTGCTCCGTGGGCTGTCCCTTTGGATCCACACTCTCGCTCAGAAGTCGAACGTGAGATCGGACTGTTGAAGTTGAACAAAGCCGTGTGAACAGATGATTTTCCTCCAACCCTTGTCAATTTCGGAAGCCGTACTCTTGTTGATGCTTTACATGAATTACTAGTGTAACTGTGGGAGCAGGAGACTGTCCCAACCGACTGGAGCCGCTCCATTATTGTTCCCATTTTCAAAGGAGGCTCGCGTTCGGAATGCGGCAGCCATAGAGGAATCAGTCTGATCTCCATCGCCTCCAAATTACTCGCCTCCATAATGCTTCACAGACTGACTGGCGCTCGTGAAAGCCAGATTCGTGAGGAGCAAGCCGGGTTTCGTTGGGGTCGTGGCTGCATTGACCACATCTTCACCTTGTGTCAGTTGTTGGAGCACCAACATACATATTGGCGGCCCACCGTAGTCGTGTTCCCCGACATTAAAGGTGCTTTCGATTCGGTTGATGGAAGTGTCTTTTGGAATTGTCTACTCAGGAAAGGTGTGTCCGAGAAATATGTAAATATTATCCAAGGATTATACGCGCGTAGCTCAGGCAGAGTGTGGGCTTACGGAAAGCTGTCGCCACCCTTCAACATCTCCAGCGGTGTGAGACAACGATGCCCGCTGTCACCTTTCCTCTTCAACTTCGCTATTGACGAAGTCATGGAGATTGCATTTACAGGACATGACTTGGAAGGTGTGGAGCTACTCCCAAGAGAACGACTTTTTGATTTGGAGTATGCAGATGACATTGCCCTCATCTGTGACAACTCCCAGACGTGCCAAGCCGCGCTGGACAGATTAGCACTGGCTGTCAGCCGCTTCAGGCTTTGCTTTGCACCATCGAAATGCAAAGCGTTCCTCCAAGATTGGCAAGGATTGCTTCCTGCGCTGACCCTTGGTGGGGATCAGCTAGAAGTCGTTCGGAAATTCAACTATCTGGGAAGTTGTATCAGAACTCTTGGGATCGAAGACGAGATCACGAACCGTATAGCAAAAGCTCGGGGCGCTTTTGCTAACATTCGCCACCTATGGCGCCGGCGCGACATTACTCTCGCCCTGAAGGGTAGAGTGTACAATGCAGCGGTACGTTCGACCCTACTGTACGGTTGAGAAACCTGGCCCCTAAGATCGGCGGACATGAAGAGGCTAGTTACGTTCGACCATCGATGCCTTCGCAGTTTGGCCCACACCTGGTGGGAATACCACGTGAGTAACGAGCGTGTTTGACGCCTTGTTTACGGCACTGGAAAAGGAACTGAACCGCTCAGCACCGTCATTTCACGCACCAGGCTCCGATGGCTGAGCCACGTGTTGCGCATGCCAGGCCACCGGCTTCCACGACGTGCGTTGTTTGCGCGCCGGGGATGTGGATGGAAGAAGAAGAAGAAGGTGTGGCCAAGCGATGACTTGGTCCAGAGGAATGAAGGCCCTCACTTCGGAGCTGGCCTCGGTTGGAGCTTCACGGCTCCCTGGTTGGGGTCCAAAAGACGGTGAACACGCTTGGGTGGATACACTTGCTGACATGGCTAGGAGCCGACCTCAGTGGTGTCCCTGCTTTGAGTTTCTTTGTCCGTCCCCATCCTTTTTAGCCTCCCCCACCACCTACGATCTTATTTCGTAGCGTAAAACAATAATTGTTCTTTTTGCCTAGTAGCCGGCTGGTAGCTTACCGGAACGATGCCTATCCGTTGCTGGTAGCTCAGCTGGCATGCAACTGTTGTATTTATTTTCCTTTTCCTTTATGTATTGCGGCACAGTAGCTGAGGTGTTTCCAACCTCTAGCTGACGTGTATAATGATGATGGTGGATCGCGCGCAAGGTGTAGATCGACAACGCAGTTCTTTTAGTGTGCACGCAGTCGGAAGCATGCACACAGCACATGTAGAGTAATGGTGTCATGGTGATGATGATTAAAGCAGCCTATTTTGGACACAAACGACATCGGTGTTTGAGCGACAGCTAACAGAATGTAGAACCTCAGTAAACATGGGATTCATACAGGGCGTATGAGAAGACGAACGTGAATACCATGAACAATCAAATGCAAATCAGATCGTGTGTAATCTATGTCAAAACGATACACACCAGAGGTGGATTCGGTTGGAAGCAGCAGAAAGATATGAGACAAGGGAGTAACAGAAACAGCATAGACACGAAGTCAGAAAGAAGACAAGAACAGGATTCTGAAGTAGAGAGGACATAGAGCACAGCAGGGAAGCACGACACCAGGCACAGCCGGTAGTGTAGGGAGGGCAGAAATGATGGTTCAAATTGGCAGGGGTACGTTCACGTCACCCGACTCCAAGTTGTTCTCATTGTCCATGGTGAAGGAAAGCTGAAACCGCAAATTCATGGAATCCTGTAGGAGGAAAAATTCGGGAGCCACATGATGTGTGTTAGATAAGAAATGACACAAGCAAAAGTAGTAACAGCATCGCTCTACACGCGTGACATTTACTATCCTAAATATAAGCACTTTTGAACGGTCAAGTGCAGCAGACGATGGAAGGAATGTCAGCAAAGCGACAAATGAAACGCCAGTGGTCATTCGACAAAGAGCATCTAACAATACAAGTTAATTGAGCCTAGTTAAATCTTAAGAATGAGACAACATATGCCTAACTCGCATCGCGCAGTAAAGAAAGCCAAAGATAAGTCACCATCTTGGAGATGGACACTGCGCTGTTAACGGAATAAAAGTGCTTGCATTTGGTACCGTGATAGCACATCGACTCCCGCAACACGTGTTATTTGCGCGCCCGTGGTCTGGATAGAAGGGGAGGGGAGGTTAAGCGATGACTTGGTCAAGAGGAATGAAGTCCCTCACTTCGAACTGGGCGTCGGTTGGTGTCCCTTAACTGCCGGGCTGGGTCCAAAGGACGATGAACATGCTTGGTTGGATGCAGTTGTTGACATGGCAAGAAACCGACTTGAATGGTATCTGCATTTTGGGTTTTCTGTCCTTCCCAACCCCGCTTATCTATCCCCTATCACCAACGATCTCACACTGCATGAAGAATAGTAAACCTAGCACATTACCTGCGTTCAAGTTTCTGTATCTTTGTACTGTGGCACAGTTAAGTGAAGCGTGTCTCTCACCTTTAGCTAATGTGTATTGATGATGATGGTTACATTTGGTGCAGTTTGTCGATAAAGTAGTGAATTTGTCAACAGTGCTGTTGGCCACGGAATAAGCATACAGAAGTGCTTGGAAACACGTACAAAAGAACCTCAGGAAGCCAATGCAACTGAATCGAATAATTTCACTGTCAGTGCCTACACTGAGAACATGGACAAGTATGACATCAGATAACCAGGGGATGTACACACTGAATTGATGCAACCAATAAAATAGTGCGGGTTAAAGCATACACAGTTATAACTAGTACCGGATTGTGTGAACTAGCCATACAAAATGAGCCGATGTAGTACGCGGTCCAGGTGTTTGGAGTCACTCACGGGTAAAAGACAAAGGGTTATTTGATGTGGATAAGGTAAAGATGATTCGAACGTAACGAATCTGAGTAGCACAGCTTTATGAGCTCTATCGAAGAACTATGATAAGTTGTGGAAAATGAGTGGACAAGAGTCAGATTATGGAGAGAATCGTGGCCGTTATTGGCCTGCAAAAAGCTACTGTGGGAGTAACACAACATGCGACGGAATAAGATAAAATTCCAGATAAGCACATGGAAAAGATCAAAACGCTCACTTCGTTTAGCGGATCGAAGATTAGAATGACTTGGTTGACAGCGCTGTTTGGAATGAATGAGCAGTGGGGAGCCAGACTATTGCCAGAGGGAGTGAGCTGGCGAAGTAACCGGGGCTGCGATGAGGAAGATGCGAAAACACAGCAGGGAATGCACCATGGCTAACATTGAAAACAGTTTCGTATGAGCCGGATGTTTGAAAACATGCGAACATTTCACTAATGTGCGGAACAGGCACACGACATTCCGAGCAACGAGACAGTTAAACGAAGAAAACTACACGATAATGCAACTGCCATACTGTGCATTAGCTTCTGTTTCATCGTCGAGCTGCGCCTAGCAATTTAACCAAGTGAGCATCCAAAAACGCCGACACTAAAGTTAGGATCAAAAACATTGTACTTATGAGTAGCATGATATGTGACGAAATCGAATGAAAGTGTAGGAAGCTAGGTCGATCAAACAAATTTTCTGAGTGCTTCTAAAAAGTGGTAAAGAGCAGCAACGGCCGCGAGTCTTGCAGCGAAAAAAGAGCGATCGACGCGACAGTCTGCCATCTGAGACACAAGCGGAAAATGGGACCTATCTTTAACCATAAATGTATGCTTAGACACAGCCTGACTGACTAGGTGATTGAGTGAGATTCGGGCAATCTCCTTGCCCACACAGCTCAGCAAGTTGTTACCATGTGGTGCATTTCTTGCCCCCTTTGCCTGCGTAGGGGTGCGCGTCCTCGCAGTATACTTAGCCCGCGCGCGACTGGCGGTGGTCGCGCGGCAGCGAAGCGCTGTTACGGCGTACATCTGACATTAGTTATTATTTTTATTTTTATTGACCTTGTACAGTGGGAGCACAACTGCCTAATTCAAATTAGGAGGCATCCCTTCCTCAAACCAACCGCGTGCATATATATATATATATATATATATATATATATATATATATATATAGGCGTCCTGTGGCTGGCCACAGTGACAGGCAAATCCAAAACCGGATGCGGCCAACCATGTATGTATGTGTGTCCCATGGTGAGGCTGATGTCGCATTCATGATGCTTCTTCACCGCAGTTGGGCTAAACCAACTTACACTTAAACTAGGTCTTTTAATGTGGATAAAATTCATTCCATTTTATTTCGTTTGCTCTGCGTACTTGATAATCTTCTCCCAACTTACACACGTCGCTCATGCAAATTGTGGTAAACTTGCGTTATTTTTCTCGCGTGGTATTTTTAAAATAACTTTCGGACATTTAGTACTTATCGCGTATTCACATTTAACACTTTCTTCCATATGCTCATTTAGCGAGTATTTATGTCATCATATGCGTTTACTTTATTCGATATCGGCATTTCGAATGATTGGCTGTTGTTTGACATCCCAGGTGTGGCTGTGCTTGATGTGCATGTTGACAAGATGTCTACCTGTCTATTACCCACTACCTCGTCCATACTGCCTCCAGGAGACAGCTGGTCGTCGCTGGAGGGTCCTTGTGGGACGGTCCTTGTCGTCGTGTTAGGCTCGAAGAGTGGTTCCATGCACTCAGTGTGGAGCGGACTACGGTCCAGCCACCGCCTTGTGTGCGGTTGATTCCCCAAATACGGCGTGCTTGTGTTTGCCTGTGAAGGAGTGTGGGCCGACTCCGTTGATGAAACGTGGCTCCCATCCACATGCCTCCCGGTCTTATTCCTTCGGGTTTACACTGGATATGGGGTATGCGGATGGAGCTGTGGGTGGTGTAGCGCAAGCCGTCCATGATCCCTCTGTAGGCGCAGGCGTCCTGTGGCTGGCCACAGTGACAGGCAAATCCGAAACCGGATGCCGCCAACCATGCTCAGACACCCGGAGAAAATCAATGCTCAGGTTACGGAGGGCACGGTGCAGACCATACTAAACGCACTGTACGCTCTCGCCATGAAGTAGCTAAAGTGTATCAGAGAAAAAAAATCAAAGCTTTCAAAAGAATAATGGGTGCTTAGGCCAAGAAAACAATGAGATTGGGCGTCGCAATATACCATAGACAGACATTCAAAACCGAGGCGCTACAGCTCGTCAACAACACGCGACCACGAAAAGCTAGATACCGTGCAAAGGTAAGGCGACATTGGCCAGACAGCTTCCTTGCAGCTGTCACTGCCCCGCGTCATAATCGGACATTACTCCGCAGATAACTCAGTACTAACACACTTTAAACAGGCAGTTCGATCATGACGAGAACAGATGTGCTACTGATGATCACTAAGAGACATTTCCTGTGACGTCTGAAATCGCGTAAGCTCCGTCCAAAAAGGTGACGCGGACGAACAGCAACAAATTTTGTAGCTAGTGATTTTATCACGCTGCCAAGTCAACTTTAGCTCAACTAGAACCGTAGGCCATTCAACACAGAGCAAACAAAACAAGCTCCTCCCCAACCAACAGTGAACGAGCATAAGTAGCACATGTCCAAGCCCACGCAGTTTACGCACTGAGAATTGCTGTTTTAGGGAACTAGCCTAATTACCAACGCCTTGTACTCGCCAGTCATGCTCAGTAGGCAGCGATGGTTAAAGACTTGAATACGCCTCATATCATAACATCGAAGGGCCTGTCTCAAACCCGTAGAATACGGGATCATCTTACAGAGGTTATTCAAAGTTGCCTTGGCCAACCCAAAATCATCAAACATCAAGAGCGTTCGTACAAACAAGATTAAGTAGTTTTCAACCACACAGCAATTCAACGGATGCATTGTGAGATTCCGTAACGGAACAATCTATAATGGACTCCACGACGAAGCTGAATAAAAGTGGGGAGATTAGACAACACTGACGAACGCCACTTGTTGTCTGGAAGATATCCGATAAATCACCGCAAATGTTGACGCGGCCTGTAGTGGTTGTGAATATCTATTCCGTGAGAACACCTATCCATGTAAGTATTTCGGGTGAAATGGAGCTGTCGACCGAATCGAACGCACTCTTTAATTCGAGGAACACAGCTATTGTCGGTCTGCAGTACGTTTGAATCTGTTCTAACAAATTCCGCATAGTAAATATATTGTCTATACTGCCTGAAGCTTTAAGAATCATAAACCTGCAATGTAATCTGTAGGTGCGTGTTCGAGCTTACGTAGAGACCGGGCGACCCTCGTAGTATCATGAGCCGACGTGCGACTGTTGGTAATTGCGAGGCAGCAAAGCGTCGGTACTGCGTATCGGCGTAGTGCTGATGCTTTTCCGTCTTTTTCTGTACTGTCCAACCATACCTGGAAGCTCGTCTGATATTTCCTAATCCGGGATTCCCGTTCCGCAGTGGGCGACGAACGAAAAATTAGGCCAGTACGTCTGTCGCCAACGGCGCAAGACTAACTACCCCTCCGATTAGCAAAGTAAGTGCAGCTGCCCTTCTTGTATATTGCCACTGTAATCGATCCATTCCAGTTACTTGGTATGGACTCATTCTTCCAAACGTAATCGAAAAGGTAAGTCACTGATTTGCAGAGGACCTCACGACCATCCCCCACTACTGCGAGCGCAAGGGTGGTCAGACCAAAAGTTCGAAAAAATTGGGTACTGTGATCGTGTTTTGAATCTCAGCCTCTGAAAAAAGCCTGTAAACTAACGTGCCATGTTTCAGCTCCTACTATCTGAGCAGAAAGAAGGTCAGGGGAAGTGGGCCAACGAAATTGCTCTCCTGAGTGCTTCGGTGGAGATAGACGGTGCTTCTTATAGTGAATTATGACGTGTGTGCTTTCGCTGATTATCTAGCCGACGCTTAGATCCTTGGGACAGTGGTGGGGATCAGTTGGAACAGCCTGCAGTGATTGGCTATTGTATTAGCCACCTCCATGTCTTGAACCCTACTAGTCCACCAGGTTTCCTTGTCAGCAAACAGGCTCCGCTTTAGTTTGAGCTTAATAGTTCGTCTGGTTACACTGTGATCAGTCAGGAGGTAGTTTTCTTCTGCATTCCAACAAGGTTGTCGACTTCTCCGATATATAGTACCTGGTGTAATGAAGACTCACGGTTACGCAAGCACAGGCTGCAGTACTGTGCATTTCGGCCGTGATTCTATTCCACTGAAGCGCTGCGTCATTAGAGCGAGAGGATGAAAGGTCTGTAACCATAGCATCTTGATAGATCTGTCTGACTGAGGGTTGGGGCAGCCTCTCAGATGCCAATCGATGAAAGAGATGCTTGGTACATCTCCCGGTAAAGTTCATGGAGAAACGACAGCGAACCAAAATATGATTAGAGTCCATGCAGGGATTCCAAAATGAGCTGCAGTCCATGAAGGAACAATGCCACCTAAACCTAACGGTAATGTGATGATCCGTTTGCGTCCATTGCTGTCCAACTATAGGTGGACACCAAATGTCACTTCAGCGCTCACTGCGCTTATAAGCGATGCCGCTAAGAAAGAACCAGCACAGTTGCAACAGACACTAATCGCCAGTTCAGATTTAAGCCTCTGGTGAGCTCAAAAGATATACTAGCACTTTCAAATCCCCTGCAGCAACAACAACAGCAACGATATCCAAACTGGTAACACTGAGATGTCGTGTGTTTAGTTCCTGAAAGTAGGTGTCCTTGACAACATCAGTGCTGCAGTCAGGGGGTGCGTAAGCAGCAACCACAAGTAAGTGTCTAGGTCTATTAGGTGAATCAACCTTTGTTGATGTCATCAAACGGGCCGCACACAAACGGATGTTCACGGGAATCCAATCAAGCGACTATGACAACCTTGGAGCTGTGAACAATGCCCAGTGGTTACCGCATCAGCGTCTCGATGCGTGTAACCAATACCGAGCGCAGATAGCTTACCATCCACGTAAGGCGCATTGATCCTACTCAGACACGCAACGCATGTCAACACACAGGGTGTCCAAAGTGCGTGCGACTGCACTCGGTTGACCGATTTGTTTTGGAGTGCTAACGTTGTACGTTGCCAATGAAACTGGACAGCGTGGCCTTATGAGGGGATGTTGCCGACAGGGGTCCAGAAAGATGGCTACAGATAGCACACCTCCAACGGTATGTCAGCTGCTGTAAAATTAGCTCGGCATATTAGAATGAGCGTTAGTAATGGAGATCCGGAGAGGAGTAGGAGAAACAGGTGAAAAATTAAAGAGGGAGGCATTGGCATTAACCTGTTTTCGATTATCCCGCCCTGTTGTATGCAGCAGATAAGGCGACTCGAGATAGCTGCGTGACAGCCGATGCAGGATGTAGTTGAATTTCGGAGGGAATTGTCATAGCTGTATGTGAGCTGAGATAATGCCAGGACTATCAAACCCAGGCAGAAGAATGATTATGGTCCTGAATCAAAGCTTCTGACTCAAAATCCTTTCAGCAAGGCAGTGGGGAGGTGACAATGATTTGGTCTTACAGCAATAAACATCATCCCATTTGCAGCCCACATCCTAAAAGACCAGAAGAAGGAGTTTGTGTGATCTCTAATCACCGGCCAATTCGATGTAGGAGTAGCTCTTAGGGAGCCCTGTGGCACTACCCATTGTAGCTCAAACAGTTGCAGAGGTGCACAAACCGTCGCACCACGTTAAAGTCCTTTTCCGTAGTAACGAACGTATTAGAAATGCTAATAAAGAGAGATAAGGCGTCATGAAATGGATCGTGTCAGATGAATAGTGAGAAGTGTTGGCTCATTGGTTTGGGGAGCTGGAATTCGAGGGGCAAGGAGTGCATCACCAGTTACCGAGCAGCGCACAATAGGAATGTTCAAACTCATCGGTAACAACAGAATGAGGAATCGTAAGCTTACTTTTTTCACACCAAAACGAACAAAGATGTCAGTGACAGGAAACGGGCTCCGATTGGACAACGTAGCGACAAAGACACGCACACTGGGAACGGGTTGATTGCTAGCGTAGTGAAGAGCCAACTCTATACCGGAGTCTGAGTTGGATTTTGTGGGATAAATAACGTACGGTTTCTGCACAGTGGGATGCGGCTGAATTGCGGAGAGTGCAACATCAAGTTGGGAAAAATCGGCAGGTGAAAAAGGAAGAGGGCCGCGGGAAGAGAGTTTTTTCTCGAACCGATCCGTGACGGACGACTTGGGGGATGGCTCACGGCTGAGGGTAGGAGCCGGGAGATCAGAAACAGGGGCGGCGCTTGCAACGGAAGGTTGCCTGAAAAGAAAACAGTAAGAAGACATTAATAAGTGACAGGTCAGTTTAGTAAATACATTTAGATGGGCTGCGAAACTAGAGTTGTATGAAAGCGAATTGATTGAGTGTTATTATCTATCGAACCGAAACGTCAGACAGTGCAACTTCGAAAGCGAACAATGACTCACGTAACACAATCAAAGCAGCTGTGGACACACTAGGTAAGTTGACGCAAATAGAAATTGGGTGTTGCACGCCCGAAAACACTGCACTACTATGACGGATTTCCATACACACGTGTACTTCAAAATGACCCACAACATCGTTCTTTTTACCGTTGTGCCAAGCGTTGCCCGTCGTGACCCGGTGGCTTAGGGGTAGTGGTCACAACTAACATCCCGATGGTCCCGGGTTCCATGCCTGCTAACTCTATCTGATGAGATGTAATAACATAGAAACGCGTCATAGTAGTGCAGTGTTTTCGAGCGGGCAACACCCAAATTCTATCTGCATCAGCTACGGTCCTCGTGTTCGATGCCTGCTAACTCTATCTGATGAGATGTAATAACATAGAAACGCGTCATAGTAGTGCAGTGTTTTCGGGCGGGCAACACACAATTTCTATTTGCAACAGCTACGGTCCTCGTGATCGAAAGACCAAGGTTCACTTCAATGGGAATCGCGGTCAACATTGAGATTGCGCGTCGCAATCCATCCACACAACGTGTACTTCAAAAATGACCCTCAACATCGTACGTACGTTGACATTTAGATTGCGGATCACGGAACGTGCGTGGTGAAGTACTCGCAGCCCGGCGTCCTAGAACAGATGGCATCGAAAAGGAAGGTCTCTATACCCCTACGTTAAAGTGTGATAAAGTGGTCAATATTTTTAGACAACGATACGAGATGAAAAATAAGTGCAGATGTTCTAATGACAAAAGGTTAATAAACAGGAGAGTATGATGAGAAAGATGGCGTCCTTGCTGGTCACCAAGGACTCGCTATGAGATAGGATAGCATGCTTTTAATATTGAAACAGTCAGATCGCAAGAAAACACCTTGTTTGTCACATCTTGTAAGGTTAAATCACGTGATGAACACTCAGCAAACAGTAAAATGCGAAGTGGTCGTCGGTTGACGCAGATTAAACTAAGGGATGGAATCGTAGCTAAAGACCACGGAGAGCAGACGACACGAGACAAGCTCTTCAATGGTAAGGACCGGCTTGGCAAAGAAGAAACAAGTGGTGTGATTTACAAAATCCACTGCAAAAATTGCAACAGATACTATGTGGGCCAGACAGGAAGAAAGCTCGGCACTAGGCTACATGAGCATAGCCTAGCCATCCGCCGACATGACCAGAACTCCCTGATGTCGGTACATATGGACGCCGAGAATTATCAGTTTGATCTGGAGAATGTCAGGATCATAGGCAAGGCAAAATCTCGAAAAGAACGCGAGTTCATCGAGGCTTGGTACTCGGGAAAGAACTCAATCAACCGACATTTAGATCTTGATACTGCCTATGAAGCACTGAGGGTTAAAACAATACTCCGCCCCAGATCAAAGAGACAAAGGAACATCATTGAGGCGGACTCTAGCTAATAGTACGCAAAAGTTGACTACACGGTCAGCTCACGTGGACCAATCGACTCCTGACGTTCGAATCAAGTGATTAATAATCACTTGGATCTGCAAGTGGCTCACATAAATCGCACTGATGATGTCGTCTAGCCTGACGATGAAACGTCTGCAACCAAATCAACCAGCTCGGAGAACACCCGCATACCCTCATCCGCATCCCGAGCTACAAATATTCTCACGGATTTCTAACGTATGGTTGCAGTTCAACGCGTGAGATTGTATCGTAACGCAGTGAGACGACTTCCGGGACGCTGTAATTATGGGGAAAAAAAGATAACTGGCGGGCCCCAAGTCCGCTCAAATCCACTCACAACAGACAAACGAGTGGCTAGAGGTGATGGAAATTTGGTACAATTATCATATTCAAAAAGAGTTGGGAAGAACGTCGATAGCATCATTCTAAATAGACTTAATCTTGAAAGACGAGTTATAACAACAGAAACACTGGCACAGAACAAAAGAGCCACGGGCTATCTCCGATCACGCAGACAACAGCCGAGAGCTGGATTCCCACCAACCCACCTCAAATCAGGCTACTTTTAATCAGTGTGACGAAGGTGGACTAACCTCTTCGCCGGCTCACCGTACTCACAGATTTATTATCCGATATGGCTAAAGCATATGCAAATTGGTTTAAGCATACTGGTGAAGCGTGGTCAGCTTCCAGCAGGCCCAGCAGTTACACACACGAGCTCCACTTGCACCACATTAATCAGTGGGTCAGACCACTGAATCAAAGGCTCTCAGTGAAGTACACATAACAGGCCCCCTAGTTATCACATTATACTGTGAGGCAGACAAAGAAATCAAGGGTTGGAATCTGGAAACAAATAATCCATCTCTAGTTAAGAGTAGTATGTGCCCACAGTCGCCACTGTTAGTCCTTCATTATTTCCTTTTCCTCGAAATGTTTATTCCTCGGGCTATAAAGATGTAGAACGAATTTGAACCCGTCAACCGCGGCAAGAAAGTCAAAGTTTTAAGTAGTAGGGGGATTTATTAGGCTTTTGCGTAGATTCCTCGCAGTTAGGCACAGAAAGACAGCCACCACACATCCAGGAAAGCGCTAGACGACCGTTTCGTCCTATTGGGACTCGTTAGTAGCGCGCACCTGCTGAATCCTTTTGGATTCGACCCCACGACCTTACTCTTGCGAGTCAGCGACTTATGTCACTGAACCATGGGCGACGGCAGCGGACCGCCATGACTGATATCTAACTGCGATATAGCGCGGCTCATCCTCCACTGTCTTGCATGTTATGATATGCAGAGGACAGGGCTGGCCCCCAAAGCAACGACTTCCCATGAAGCATAGCATATGCTTGCATAGGAAGTCGCAGGTTCGAGCCTGCGTGGGGATCGGGCGACCCTCGAAGTATCCTTAGCTAACGTGCGACCGGTGGTGATCGCGCGGCAGCGAAACGTCGCTACTGCATACAGGCGTACTGCTGATGCCTTGTCTTTTCTATTCGAACGCCCGCAAGTGTGGATGTAGTAGTCATCTCCGGCAACAAGAATGTTCAAATCAGTCAAACATCAACTAAGACACCACTTCCGAGGTAGGTCAAATGCGTAGAGCTCATATTTACTGTCCATCAATATTTTAACCTCCCAGCACTTTTGTAAGGGGTCAAAAAGAACAAAGCTACTTCGCGGCCACGAAAAACCGCCAGCGGTTGCATGGCGACTGGGACAACAGGAGGTCGCCAGTATCCATGCGGCATCGAACCGGCGATAGGTGGACCACAGGCCAGACACTTCATGCACTGGGCTACTGTTCAGACGCTTCTGGTACCTCACTCTGTTACAATACCCTACAATAACAACCGTGACTGTGCGATACCTTAGAATGGCATTCAAGGAATTACGTCGCAGAAAAAACACTAGAGGTATCCGGGTTCATCGAGAGATAAAATGCTTTTTAAGGCAATCATGGTGCAATCTCCATTTGACTCCTCTGCAGTTCATAACAACTAGTACGTATCGGATAAAGAATTGGTCCCGCGGGTTAAACGGCTAGCCAGCTAGATGGAAAACAAGTTTTAGTGGAAACAAAGCTAAAGTAGAGAGCACAAAGGAAAGCACGAACGAACACGAATCTGATAAATTTACAGCATCTTTTACCAGTACAATCCACGGAAGACGCCCCAAGTAGCCTGCATTTCCTGTTGTTGTCGCTATCGAGTATCGTGTGTTATGGAAATAGTCCGCTGCGCAGCTTTAACGCAATGCACTACGATCCTTCAATTCGTATAGGTGCGTTTCTATGGTATACATTCCCCATGCACGAAGTGCTAAGACAGGACTCGTACACACAGAACTACAACGTCCAAGGATCTTGGGAAGCATCTTTCTAGTTGCTGTTTCGGTTGCCGTATCAGCAGATTACTTTTCCTGTGAGAGTAAATGTGCACAATTTGTTTGGTTCTCCTGTACGTTGTTAAATACTCAGTTCGGTAGTGTAGTAAACAGTTGAAAAAATAGAAACAGGTTATGCTGAGGCTTCTCGTTTACTGAGAGGTAGGAGCCTAGGTCAGAAGACTGGTGTGGTGCACAACACTGCATGAGAATGAAACTGGCAAAGTTGCTTAATGCGATAGGTGACTTGTAAGTTCCACCACGGAAGCATCTAAGTTCGGACCGATGATCATCAAGTGATTAGTATGCAACGGTGTCACAACTGCCCACATCACCCGGCAGGCGAAGCGATGTGGCGTTGCTCAGCTGAGTAAGAAACTAAGAAGCAATTGCATCGACCGTTCGTCGTTGGTTTAAGCGTCAGTCACACAAGACGTGGTGCTCAAGAAGTTCAAAGATTGCTACTCGAAGCAACACTTGGTGAAAACAGAAAAACGCACGTGTCAAAACCGAGCATACGGCGTCCCAAAGAGTCAAGGTCATCAAACATTTTCGAAGTGTTCGTTTTGTCAGACGGAACCTCGGGGGCCTTTTGCAGCGCCGTCAAAAACAGTGACTCAGAGATAAAAGGGCGCGGTGAATGGACTGTATTGGTGATGGGAATGGGAAGATTCGTTGCCTGTTGGACCGAGTTTTCTGTATAAAGGTGGAATGAAGGAGTGAATTGAGGAAGAGGCTGAAGAATATTAACGGATATATTGTTAAGTGATAGTCACTACTCAAGTGTGGATCGATTAAAATTTCCAAGAGGAAAGGTGAGGGCAGGGTGATTGTGAAAACTAATGCTGTAAAAATGTGACGCCACAAGTCGGTTGCATGCAAGTGATTCAGTATAGATGCATCATTTTGGTGCATCGTAATCATACTGATGAAAAAAATTAAGAACGGAAAAGGGGACCTAATGTGAAACCCAGATGCCCCAGACGAACATTCAGGGGCAAGGAGCCTACAACTTGCTAACACCACATGATATTATTTGACAAGAAAGTGATCAACGTACACATAGTGCCATAATGATCAACAAGCCACAGTTAGCTAATACAATACTATACCTGTTCAAACAGATGGGTTAATGCATTGGAAAATCGTCACTACGGTCTTCAGAAGATCACTGCGCAAATACATCCGGAGTGGTAGGGAGGAAGCGGTTGAGAATCGCGAAGAAGACGCAAAGCTTGGGCATCTAAACTAACAGACCATAGTCCAACTTTCGCCACTTGAAGACGAAATGACCCAGAGACAGGTAGCCAACTGTTTTTGAAAGTGCTCCGCTCAACAAGCTAGTAAAGCATTCTGTGTTATGAACTGGAGCACAGGTTCTGGCAATCATCGCCTCAGTAACGCATGATTTCCTGAGAACTGTGGTGTGATCTAGATAAGAGCTTTCGGAGTTCATCCGTCACATCTATCTACACCATTTACTGAACCCTATGCGTAAAACAAACTCCGTTGTCAGTTCGTAGCTTCCGTTTTAGTTTGTACTTGAAAGTCCATCTGACTACATTAGTTTCTCCGCCAACGGTGAAGTTGTCAGCTAAACATAGATATTGTGATTATGAAGGTGAGGTGTGCGCAGGGATAAGATCCCTCGCACACATAGTGTTTATTAGAAGGGTGGGGTCAACCGACAAGGACTAGGGTAAAAAGCATGCGAAGGAAGTGACGCAGTTAGTAAGCGGACTGAAGGACAAAACAGACAAGTTGGAGAAGAAAGTTAGGTTCACACTAACTTGTTATCGGACGAGTTAACACACTCTTAATGGCGAAATTGAATAACCAAGGGGAGACCACAAGAAGAGCAGGTAAAACCGTGAGCACATCGTGTTCAGAACTAAGATATGCTTGTCTGTTAGTTAGATTTGGGTTCGAAAGGAACACATGACAAACATGGAAGGATTTCGATTTGGCATAAATCACCAGAGCATATAAGTTGCGTACTATCATACAGGATACCGAACAAAAGCATGACAGCACAGTATATGTCTCCTCTGCGACGTGTTGCGACCGAGTGTCCCTCATGGTGGCAACAGCCCATGCACTCGCGATTTGACCTGAAACACATGGTAATGACGAAACTACCCAGAAATGCCATAACTGTCTAACCTTTTGGTGTTGTTAACAATGAGATGATAAAGGCACAGTGACCAAGCAAAAGATACCTAGTGAGGGAACAGAGGAAAGATTGGCGAAGATATCCTTCAGTTCTTCGCATTTATAAACATTGGGTTGAGAGGCATCCTGATGAAGGTAAGACGGTTTTGGAAAGGTTGACAATGAAGAAGCGTTGGAGTCTGCAGGCAACTCCGCATCAATACCCAAGCCGAGTAAATCACTGGACAGTAAATCCTGATTCAACGTCGATTTCGACCTGGATGAACTGTCTGGGAGATTGGCAGATCTTCCGGGACCAATTGAAACGACAACCAGTTTTTCATACACATCCAGAGTGGTGCTCGCTTCATCACAAATCCGAACGATATCGGCTTAGAAGGACGAAAAAGCAAAATAACAACACGAGATTGGCAACCGTAACAAAGTGAGACAAACGAGGTTGTGAGCAAAGTGGAGTGGTGCCGCGGTTAGGAGCTAGTAAACCGAATACAGCAAAGAAAGGTAGCCAGTTTTGACCTGGAATCGGCTGAAACTCTACCAAATAAGCTACTGATAATGTTATAACTCACCGTGTCGGAAGGTCACTACTTTCTCATCTTCTTTGAAGCATGAACAATTGGGTTTGCTTCTTCTTACTAAAAGAACACTCGCATATTAGTTATGCGATGGATTTTTTAATTGACTATGGATGATAGACCATCATTGACTGTACCCCGAGAATTTTCATTGTTCCATCGTGGACAGTAATGTTATTCTTCTTTGCAACCGGAACGACTGAACTCGACATTCCTGATTACCACAAGAACACTTTCATCTGCTGTTTCCCCGGAATCACCCCGATGATACTATACAGGATCTTCAGTCCGCAATCGGAAAATCAAACCTTGCCTTTTACATCCGTTTGAGTTGAAACTTTAACTTGGATATTATTGGAGGATATGCTGCTGCATCCGGAAGGTCACCAATCCTGTGAGAGAATTATTATCCCACATTGTGTTCTGAATAACAACCAGCCCGTCGTCAAGTAGCCTAACGTGGCTGTGATTTGGACAAGATTCTGCTCTGCAATCTCACCCCATATAAGAGGTGACGACTTGACCGACCAACCAGATGACGATTCTGCTCCACTGCATGTTTCAATGCAATGAAGACACCAATCCAGTCGATGAACTTGTTGCTATGCTGTCCAGCTGATTGCAAGCAGCAATTCATTCTTGATTTTGAAGCACTAACTAGATTATGCAATCCTGCTTCTTTAATCCTAATTATCTCCTGACTACTTTAAGCAGGATGGAGTAGACACATTCTTGAGCTAAGCAGGCTCAACGAATCTAATCAATCTGGACACACACACACACACACACACACTATTATTTATCTGACAAGCTGGGAAACACCCACGCGAAATTTTATGCCCCTTGAGAATTATGTAATTAACTGATCCTGTCTGTGAAGGCGCATCTCGTGCAGTTTGAGAGTAAATAATTTATAAGTTGTGATCTGTCTACAACTTTGTGGTGAGCCAACATCAGATTAGACCGATGCTACGTGCAAGGTGTTCTGCACTCAGGAATCAGTAACTATTGCTAACTGATAGTATATGACTAGTGTAAGGTGTAATGCTGAACGTAGCGTATGGATACCGGAATCAGCTGTTTCAGTGGTTAAATGTCACTTCCAAACACATGATGGTCACCGTATGTAGAAGTGAAATCGAAAAAAATAACAGCGAAAGGTAAATAGTCCTGGTTAGCGTGACCACTCAAGGCTAAAATGATGGAATTAAAAACCACTCTGGCTGTGAATAGGTATTGTCGGAAGAATTTACGTAAAGAGTGTTAAAGGTTTTATGGTTGTTCAGGAACAGCGCCGAAATCGCTCGAAATACCTAACATCAAATCAACAACCCCAAACATTTATTGGAGGCTCAAAGAGATGTACGTAGGACACCGTCAATTCAACCGAGACAGTGAAAATGCGCTGTTTGCCGATGCTTATCTTCATGTTTTAAAGTACGATGAAGTGAATAAGTATTTGCGTCTGATAGGATGAAGAACGCGGTGGCCGTCTCCTCAGAATCCAGAATTAATGTATGCACAGGGTGCCACGTAAATAGTGGATACATATATAGGGAGTGTTGAAAGCTCTTCAGTGAAGGAGAACATACTCATGGTCTCCAAATCATGCTCTTCGTGAGTTAATGAAAAATTGTAGAGCAACGGTCGCGCTCGCCGAATGTTTTGAGCGAGTTCCTGAGGAGAAGGAAAAGGGAACATGACATAACGTAGGGGAAATGAAGTTATGGAGTGAACCGCAGGAACAAAAAAGAAAAGGGTGATGATTCCACTCACTTCCATCAGTTCCTGTTCGGCCACGGATCCTTCTCCACGTTCGTAAGTTTTTATCATCTCGTTCAACAGATGAGTATTGTTTTTGAGTGCCTCCATTTCTGTGGAGCGCTGTGTGGCCAGTTCCATTCGATTTCTATCCTGTGAACAAAGAGTCGGAGGCACCAAGTAGAGATTCGACTGAAATGGAATAACGCTTAATCCATGGGGTGTATTGAAAAAGGGAAGATAAGTGAGACAATAGGTTACAAAAGAAGGAAGTTGGCTGACTAAGGATGAGATCAGCTTGTCGGGTTAATCCAATAACAGACAACGGATAACTGCACGTTATGCCCATTGATTGTAAGAGTTAGCTGTGGCCTCCAGCATCGAAAATGAGGCCTTAATCTCAGGTGTTCAGCTACCGGAGGTGGAAAGCCATGATGTACCAAGTGGAAGTACTTAGATTCCCAAAATACACAAAAGAATAGCGTTCCTAAAAGTATCCAATCAATTCCAAAAAGAAAACATGAGTTCTGCGAAAAGTAATATGAATACTATCGAGACGGAGGTGTGTCCAGATAGGGCAATTCAGCCGTTAACGGAAGTTAACCAAGAACAAGAAGGTGACCCGATATAACGATGTGGTGGAACCACTAACGGACCCGTGTACCATGTATACCGTACAACTTCGCCTCGATATGGCCAACAGGCTTGGAAGGTTAAATCGTTTAGTAGGTGCAAAACACAAGCATACAGTATGGGATAGCAGTACAAAGAAAAGACTGCTTCCCAATTGAGAGGAGGAAGGGATCGCAGATGAAAAGGGACTTACCTCTTCAACAATGCTTTGAATTATTCGGTTGGCTTCAACGATATTAGCTGGATTCTTGCTACGAAGCAACTTGGTTAAACGCTGAAATGTGGCACAAAGGGAGACGGGATAAGTGTTATACGAAACCATTCTTGCTTGAATGCTGCTGACCCCGAAATGACAGGAGAAATCTAATGCGAATCGACCAGTGGGACAACAGATTAGAGTAAACAAACCAGACAGTATAGATAAGTTCAGGTCGTTTTGGTCACCTACGATTCGTACAGCGAAGCGCCGTTGATCTAGTTGCCTTGAACCACCCTGCTAAAGTAGTAATACAGCGGATATGATGTCCGACCATTAGCGTAGTCGGTTTAGAAACCTCATCCAAGAAGAGGACATACCCTTCTGTGAGTGCCTTCAAGCAATTTGACATTATCGACTGGTCACCTAAGGAGGGCAATGGCGAACAAACAAATCGAGGCAACCAGATTGTATGCACACAACGCAGACGATCAAATCAGCTAAAGTGGGCCGAACGCAATGAATGCAATACGACGGCGTCTCCTGATAAATTCCATAATCCGACAAACTCATTCGGTGCAGCCATCGAATGAGGGCAAAACTTGCCAAACAGCGATGACCGAACGTGACAAGTTTCTTAATGTAAACGGTGCATAGTGGCCAGTCCTTTGGTACATACACTAGGAATTGCCACCCCATAGGGTTGTAACCCACTCCATTAATCAAGAAGACTACATTTCGATGCCTCCGTGAGTGATTGAGGCAGTGAAAAGTCACATGAGCCACTGAAATGCGTGCTGTGAACTCACTAGTAATGCGGTCACCAGAAAAGAAGTAGCCATTTGGATAAGAGAAGTGAGCGACCGCGTCGAGCGATTGGTTGGTGCTTTGACTCAGTCCAGTAACAGTACCCTGATATTGCAAGGCACACTGTGTTACGTGTCAGTTTATTTGGTAACGCGTGGACAACAACTTGTTCCGACTCAGAGATAACTAGGTCGCCCTAGCACTCGAAGCTTGATAGCCCGACAACCAACAGGACATCTACCCTAGAAAAAACGAAAGCTAGCGGAGAACTTTTAGGAGAATTTAGCCAGCTGTAATAGGAGATATAGGGTAACTCTGACACAAATTGTTCAGTACCGTGGTGAACTGAGGGAAGAGTTACTTACCGAACCTAACACTTCTCCGGGAGTGGTGACATACAGACTAAAGTGAAAGACCCATCAGAACATGGAATCACTGCGAACAGGTGCGACCGACTGAGCGAAACGTATCACTTAAGCCGAACAAGACTAGAAGCTTATGGGTGTATGGTGCAGAGTAAAGATGTGGAAAATAAACTCTTCCTAAGAGCGGGGAAGCCACTCCTTCGCATGGACAGTTGAGTCGAAGTAGTCTGGAGATAAGACTAATGACACGACGACCATTACAAAATAGCTTCCAGTATTTTGTAGATTGTTGAGAACAGCCAATCAGAAGGCATTTCTGAATTGAGCCCATGGCATCGGCACAGAGCGGCTAGACAAATCCCTAGCTGTCAATGAGTCTTTCGGTAACAATGGAGGAATACTGTCAGAATCAAGCGAATTATACAGATTCAGCAAGGTCAATTCGCATCGTTGGTGGGGCGGTTGTAACTTTGACATCCAATGTAGGCTTAGATAAATCGGTTAAAAAATTTGGTTGACAGAAGCAAATCCAAAAATACAGAAACACGATCACAAAGTATGTGGGCAGGGCCATTGATCAATTCTAAAGAGACACTAAGTACTGGTAGGATATCAAGGTCAAGTGTGCTTATGCAAATGTTCGCAACTGCACGTCTTCATTTTGCTGCGGTCAATCTTTGACAACGGTTTCAACACGTAATTTTGATAGTCTCATTGGGAGCAAAGAGCCTTTGATGCTAGAAACAGATTACAGCTCCGTTCTGACCCTAACGCCAGTGCCTAGCCCTCAGTGACTACAATCGATCGGTGCTTAAGTTGGTTTCCTCTTATTGGTATACCCCGTGCGAGTATCTTCTGTGCTGTGGTTGGTTCTGACAGTCATGCGTCCCAGAGCGAGTTTGCTATAAATTCAGCAGCTTTCAAATACAAAGAATCCTGCCCAATAGTCTTCGTTGATCGTATTACCAGACTGGGACCATCACGACAAGCGTATACCCTCTAGAGTTCGAGGAGATCATGTCAAATATAGATGCTCACAAAAAATCGATAAATTACGAAGCAGTTAAGCAAAAATGTTCGCCATATCAGAGTAGTTCACTAAGAAAGTCTTGGGAACATTGTAGGTCAAACAAGTCTACAGTGTACTTAACCATTGATGTAACATCTGTCAGTTGATCTCCGAGGGAAGTACCGTCCTGTGCAGTAAGAGCGAGGGATCTAATATAAGTGCTTATCGCAAACAACGTTACTTCAGTGCCTTAGCGCCCATGGCTCACAAAAAGAGTATGATTTCGGTTCATCTTTGATTGAAATAATGCATCCCATAACACAGTATTAGTACGGAAGGATGGTTGTATCGGCTCAACAAGCAGGGATTTATATGTACCTTATACAAGGAAAGGATAAAAAAAGTTAAATGAATAAAGAACCATGAGTTCAGATTTACCTACAAGGTTGTGGCGCTTCTCGTAAATAAAACACGACAACGGAAAAAGGCAAGATAATATGTGCGATTAGTGATATCCGGTAGCTGATTCCACGACAGCGTTGTCAGGATACCTTTTTGTGAATCTACCGGCATAAAGGAATTATTTGGTGGAATTTCGGCACCACTGAGTTTCATTTTTGATTCCACAAATTCCATATCATATTTTGTGCCGCATCTTTCACAAATTGCCGAGTTCCATTTCGAAAATGCGGCCTTACCATTGTAGGCCACTTTTACGACATTTTCCAAAGTGCTGAAGAAACTATCCCATGGTTCCTGTCCGATTGTTGGACATACAGCAAATGCTTTGATTGCTGTGCTAGATTTCATATTTCGTGTACTTGATTACTTGCCGATTCCTATCGTCTCTTGCGTTCCATTCAACATGATCTCACACACGTTTTGTGCAACGATTGGCTAAAGTAGCCGGAGAAATGTGTAACGTCTACCGATGCAGATCGCGACCGTGAGCAGTTCTTGACATATTATCCTGTAAACTGGTATAGATTCCATCCAAGGCTCAAGCTAGCCTTCCTTCTAATCTCCGGTCTCAGAGAATAACTCATTAACGTGCCATCACGATTTTTTCGGAGGCGCGACACCAACTGAGGCTAATGATCCACTGACTGTGCTTTGCTAACTGATGAATGTCCAATAGTTATGGAGAATGAAAAGCTCAAAAGCGGAAGAAGTAGCGAAACGAAGAGAAGCTTCCCGCTACTGACCAACCACAGGCCAGGCTAAGCAAAGCTCGAGGCCACCCTCCTTTCACAGGAACCACTTCCAACGATAAGAGACAATCAAATCTAATGTTTTTTCACGCGCTGGGTCCACCGATCCAAGTCCTCAGGCACGCTGTGCCCATGATGTAGAGATTTTACAAAGTCTAGTTGAACGATTCCTCGATGTGGGTGATGAAGGAGTGAAAGTGAGGTAAATCATCCGCCTCGGCAAAAACCATACTAAGAAGGGCCTATCTATATGGGTAACCTTGACTGATGACGCCAGCCTGAAGTTAATCCTGTGTCGGCTGAATAGACTGAGAAGCGAGAGGGTGCATATTCGTCCGGATATAGATCCAGCTGACCGGGAGCGCCTCAAGTCTGCCATCATCGAGCTAAAGCGGTGAACTGGTGAGGAGGAAACAAACCTATATATTTCAAATTTTCAGGTGGTTACAACATGAACATGAATACGCATAAAACTGCAGCCTGCGTGTAGCTTTTACCAATATCTGCAGTCTTATGAACAAGCGCGATGAGCTGTGTCGCTTCGTTGCTTTCGAGCGACCAGAAACGTTGAACGAGGTACTCACCCAGGAAGTTGAGCTTAGTGGCCACTCGTGCTTCCGCTGTGGTAGGTTTTCATATGCGTCACATCCAGTGTCTTATGTATGGAAGACTTATGAACGTCCACCGAAACGAAGATAGACTATGTGAGTTGTGGTGTTCGAAGTAATTTGGATAAGGCTACTTTTTGGAGCATTTTATCGCAATCCCCTGAGCTGTTGTTTGGATTCGCTGCGCATTTCAGGGCCCACACGAGTTTATATTATTAGACGATTCCAATTGTCCTCGAATACGCTGGCCTAAGGTTCAACTTTTCACCGGGTATTGTGAGGTCGAAGCAAAATTCGTTGATGTGGCACTTAAACCTGGGGCAGCACAACACATCTGCAAACCGACGCGTATAACACTGCGCTCAACTCCATGGTCCTTAGAGTTGATGTTAACCAGCTGTGAATAACATGTGTATGACATTCGGATCACGGAGCCTCTGGCAGCAAGCGACCACTCAGTTCTTACTGCCAACATGGGGCTGCCGCTTCAACAATCCCACGCACTGTAGTAAGATTACAACCACTGGAAGACAGATTTCGACGGCCTGACTTGAACCGTGAGCCAGGTGGATTAGCCTCTGCCACAATCTGTATCTATTGATCAGTTCTAAAGAATGGAGTAAACTCATTGTGCAACCTGTCGGAATACAGAGTAAAACTCCCTCCTGTCGCTGAACACAATGTAGCCAGACGGACTATTAGGCGCGAACTAGGACAGAGCCTGTGTGCTGACGAAGAAGCCAGGTGGACCAGTGAGGCAAACGAAATAGAGGAGGCTGGAGCAATAGGCAAATATGGCAGGCTGTTCTAACTGATCTGCACAACTGGTTCCAGGAAAGTAAACGCCAGTGAAACAATCAGGGAAAGCACATGCGTCATAAAGAGAGCGGTATGGCTCTTTGGACAGAGCAGTATGGGTGGCATTCGGTTGGCCGCCAGCTGCAGGACTTCATCCCACAAGTGCTGCAGGCCAACCCATGGCTACTTAGTTTATAAGCTCCATCAGAAAGTGAGGTCCGAAAGACACTCACAGCCACCCACGGTTTTCGAGCTACTGGTCCGGATTCCCTTGCGCCCGCAATAGTTAAAGGTGGCGGTGAGGTCCGCTACAAAGCCCTGGCCTACTTTTTCGGACAGCTCTGGAAGGAAGGGACCATCCCAGCCAACTGGAGTGAATCGACCACAGTGGCAATACACAGGATTGCTAGCCTAACGCCGTTGGTGACAAATGTAATAACCTCAACACTCGTTCGTCAATTCCTTGGGGAATGGGAATCACGGATTCGGGAAGAACAGGCAGGTTTCCACGTAGATTGGGGATGTATAGACAAAATAATCACTAGGCAATGGTTGGTAGAACTACAGACAAGTACCGCAGACTGTCAAGAGCTGTTCTTTGATTTAAAGAGTGTGTTTGACTCGGTCGATGGCTCCATTTTGTTCGAAGTATGGAAAAATTATACCTGTCGTGTATTCGAACACCACAGGCCGTCACAACAAGTGGCGTTCGTCCAATTTCAACCCTTCCGTTGACAGCCGGTGGCCGAATGGATTACGCGTTTGCAGTGTAATCCGAAGTTCAGCGGTTCGAATCCGCGTAGGTGCGGTCGATCTCGTGATATGCCCAGCCTTAGGGCGACTGTTGATGGTCCCGTTGGAGTGAGAAGTACTGTTGATGCTTTGCCTACCCATTTCCATTCAACTTTGTCATGGAGTATTCCTGTGAGGAAGCTCATGATGCAGCCGTTGAGCAGCTGCCTGGTTGAAAACTACTTGATCTTTATCATAAAGACGATATAGTCTTGCTACCTGACAGTCGTGGGGCGGTTCCATCAACGATGGGCAGACCCTCTGGAAGGGTCCAATCAGTTGACATATGCTTCGTATCTTCAAAGTGCAAAGTGTTGTTGCAGGACAAACAGCCAGTTGATTGCCCTTTGGTTCATGATGACGACGAACTGGAACTAGTTGACCAATTCACTTATCATAGTAGCTGCATTAGAAGTGAAAAGGGTGTAGCTAGTTAGTTATGTTCGTGAACTGATAAAAACTCGAAACGCTTTATTGAACTTGAGAAAGCTGTGGTGTCAGAAAGGGATTTCCCTCAGTCTGAAAGACAGTGTTTACAGGGCTCCCGAGAGGGATGTGGTAGTGAAACTTGACTCATTCGATCTGGGAATCTGAGGCGACTTCAAGTCACTGATCATCGATGCCTACGGAACATGGCCAGTGTTGGATGGCACCAGGGTATGCGCAACGGTTAAATCTGCAAGTGGGGAATAGACGGTTATAAACAGGTTAGTTCCTTAGTACAACAAATAACATTGAGTAAGCAGCGTTGGTCTGGGCAAGTACTACGTATGCCCGGTCGCCGCTTAACGAGGATAGCCGTTTTATCAGTCAGATATTGGATGGTGCAACGCTCGAGGTGGGCAAGAGTTGATTTAGTAACGGAAAATGAAGGCATTGACTGGTAAACTGGATGTCATTGGTACGGCTTACCTTCCTGGATGGAGTCTATGCGATCCGCCTTGTACTTGGCATGATTCATTATAGAAAATGACTAGTAATCTGGATCACTGATGTGTCTGTTTTTGCCTCCTAGTCGGACTACCTATTTAAAGTATGTTTGGTGCTGAGTTATCTGTGAGGTTATGTCTGATTATAATGCGAGACAGTGAACTACGCAGGGAAGCTGTCTCGCGCATGCCAACTTATCTTTGTACGATATCCGGCTAGTTGTGGCAGCATATTTCTGACGAGTTGTAGGCACCTTGGCCATTAGTGTTTTAGACTAGGTCATCCTTCTTTTCCTCCTATTATTCTTCATTCCCTTGGTCGTCATGGTTGTACCGTAGCGAAGTGTGAACTCCAATAACTGATGTACTGCTGTTGATTATGATGATGACAAAAACTGAAATCTATACTCGGAAAAGTAAGGACGCGAAGTGAAACACCTCCCCGAACCGATAGAATGTGAACAGACGAATTTCCAAAGAATGAAGCTGCTCGGTAGTGTCTTTCCGCGCGTCTATCACAGCCTGATTGAGTCTGGTAAAAAGACTTCCGTTTAATACTGGAACACTTCTACCACTTCCCATAAATCGTGCATTATGACGCGGAAACGGTGGGAAAATGGACACAGACAACTCACTGCATATTCCTTGTTACGATCGAAGATGTTCGGCTGACGAGCAACCGTAGCGTCTGGGTGCTAAAGTGGAGAAGTAAGGAAACGAAAGACGATGATTCAGGAACTAGATGAGGTGGATGCTGGATGGAGACACGAGCATCATGTGGCAAGACACAGTTGTCGCGCAACAGATGCTGCGGCGATGGACACTGCATGTGTTCGATTAGTAGGAATAAAATGTTGTGGAGGAGACAATGAATGCAAATTATGTATTCTAAAGAACAGTACCTATACGACTTAATTCCCCTGACGTGTGACATCTGGATGGTGACAATAGAAAGCAAAGGCAGCAAGTGGTTCAAGGCGAAACATCAGACGAACAGCGATCAAGAGAAGCAGCAATAGTGTTGAGGACCTCTACCATACCACCTCAAGATCCGTTGAGCACAGCTTGTATAGGATCAAATTACGAGTAATTGGGGATGAATCAGGTTGGATAGTGGTAGTTGGTTCGCCAATCAGTTCGTCGGTCAAAATGGGTGAGAAAAGAAGTCGTGTGTATCCAGAGATTAAATCATGAATACTTCGATTGTTTAGCCAGTGCGATCTGCGTGATGAAGTAAAAGTGAAAGATGAACAACAAGTCGGCAACACAGCATCCTCGACACGCAATCCCTCCGCTCTCTCGTATATTCCCGATCTTGCTAACTACCATATTGGTAATCAGGGTAATCAGGTGCACTTTTTCGATACATCGGTTATAGGTGATAATGCAAACTGGCGATACGAACTTAAGCAAAGAAGATGGAGCGAAGGGTAAATAACACATGAAGGCATCAGCAATACGACGGTACGCAGTACTGACGTTTCGCTGCCGCGCAACCAACACCGGAGTCGATGCACGCCAAATAGACAATGGTGATCGATTTCTACAACCGTGCGCCGACTGCAACCTTTATAGTAGCAGCACTGCTATCCAGCATAAACGTGCGCACCGACCGAATTCCTCAATGACCTGCACCCAAATTGATCACAGTGCCATACGCCACAGGTGGCGCACATCAGTCTAAGACTGTCAGTCAATTTGGAGCACGTGCCTGGATTCCGACCATGCTCTAGTGCGCGCACGTCTGGAACTCACTCTTCCCACTCCAAAAAGCGCCTATCTTCCAACCTTCTTACCAGTAACCTTAACTCGCAGTTTGCGGGTCAACCATATCGTAAGGAACTGGCTCATCAATTGTAAGTGATGAATGAGGTTGATGAGCCGAACGCTGATTGGGATCATCTCAAATGTGCCAAGAAGAATGCGTCTGACGCATCCTGTGCACCCGACTTGATACATCGAATCTGCGAATAGATCACTGAGGTATCGATCACCTTAATCGAAGCACGTAAACCGGTTCCTATGGCTATTGAATTTCAGCGTGTTCGTAGTTCTCTAAAACGTTTAACAAGGAGTTTTCCATTTGACCGGGAAAGTTGGTGGGTTGCAAAGGAGCGTGAGATGGAGAAACCCAGTGCTATTGGAAACAGCCGGGTGTTATTCCAGCTCAACCGGAACACGGGTTCGAGAAAGTCATTAGTTAGCAAGACAATAGCTGAGAAAGATGGATAACTGATTTGTTCTTAGCCTCGTCGACCAGCCCGTTGGGCGGAACTTTCTGAAAGGCAGTTCAACATGCGTGCTTCGACACGGCCGCTTGCGGATCCACCTGAGCCGACGCGGGAAGTTGATGTCACACCTCTCGCTTTGGAAGAGATTCGACACGACCTTTCCATGTTGAAAAGAAACAAGGCTCCTGGGCCCGATGATCTCCCTCCATCTTTGCTGAAAGATGGAGGTGACTCTTTGTTTACTGGATTTGCTTCTCTTTTTAACATGATTTGGGACACTGAGGAAGTGCCTTCAGACTGGCGATTGTCAACTGTCGTGCCCATGTTCAAGAGGGGTCGGCGTACTTTATGCGAAAGTCATCTAGGCATTAGCCTTATTTTCACTGCCTCACAACTTCTCATGGGTATCATTCTTCGACGACATACTGGTCCCCGTGAAGACCGATTTATTGAAAGTCAGGCGAGCTACCGCCCCGGCCGTGGTTGCATCGACCACATATGTACCCTTCGTTAAGTTTTAGAGCACAGACACACATGGAGAGGACCGATTATGGTAATTTTCCTTGACTTGAGAGCCGCTTTCGACTCGGTTGATGGCGCCAGCTTGTGGCACTGCCTATCCAAGAAGAGCGTGCTAGCTAAACTCCTTTCCATTCTGAAGTCCCTCTACCATGACATCCGAGGCCGTGTAAGGGTACATGGGAAACGCTCTCCTGAGTTCCCACGACAAGTGGGGTCCACTAGGTTTGTCCTATATCTCCTTTCCTCTTCAACTTTGTGATCGAAATGATGATGAATGACTCGGTTCTTTCAGACTATTCTGCAGTGGAAGTTCCGCCAGGCGACCAATTGACAAAACTGGAGTATGCGGATAGTATAGTTCTCCTTGGGTCTAATGCATTGGCTATGTAAACACTGCTAGATAGACTGTTGCGTAGCGCTGCACGCTTTGGCATGTACTTTGCACCTTCAAAGTGCAGAGTGCTGCTGCAGGACTGGACCGACACACCTCCGGTTTTAGCTATCACCGAAGAGTCACTGGAAGTGGCGGATAGGTTCACTTATCTTGGTAGCTGTGTCACGTCTGGTGGTCACATAGCTGAGGAACTCACTTCGCGTATTAGCAAGGCCCGTGTGGATTTCCAAAGACCATAGCATCTATGGAGACGGCGGGATATCAGTTTGTCAGTGTAAGGTAGGGTGTATAACGCTGCGATAAAGCCAGTGATACTGTATGGACCTGAGACCTGGACAGTTCCCAGTGAAGATATTAAACGCCTGACTGTGTTTGACTACCGGTGCTTGCAAAATATCGCTCACGTCTGGTGGGAACACCGACCGGGTGAGCAATGCTGAGGTCGGTCAGTTGGTTTTTGGCAAGAAGCCTTGTGGTGCCCCTCTCGAGTGTTTGATAAATCCTAGTCGCTTGCATTGAATAGGACTGGGCCGTAGATCGGCGTGCAGTATACGCCGCGGCTGCACCAAGTTGGGGGAAACCGCGAGGTGACCAGTCCATGACATTGCATAGAAGCTCGAAAAAATTGTTTGAGTGATTTGGTCAGGTTGGTGCGTGCGGTCTTCCTGGATGGGGGCGTCAGGACGGCCCACACAAATGGTTGGAGACTGTGTCAGACATGACGCAGTCACGGAGTCAGTGACGTTCCTGCATCCGGCATATTTCATCTGGTTGTTAATTTTGGTTCAATTCTGATTAGTCTAACGCATTTCCTACCTGCTTTCATTTTCTCTACACTTTATTTGCACCCAACCCCACTATCTTGCCGTTGTTATTCTTACGGTGTGAGTCGTGGCAACTGGATTCACAGCACTTCGGTGCTCGGATAATAGTTGATCAACTAAACTGAACTGAACTGAACCGGTCGCACGTGGGCTATGAATCCTGCGAGGGTCACCATGCCCCTACGCAGGCTCGAACCCGCGCCGTCAGATTACAAGACAAGCTTGTTACCTTTAGGCTACGGGCCGGCAAAAAGAAGTGAAGTCGAAGAGACAAACCCAAGACGGGCATCTTGAATCGCTCATCAATGGGCCAGGTGGTGTTTAGGGTCAAGATGAATCGGTTACCTGTTGCATATGCAAGAAAAACTCAGTATTTCCACGATGGTAACGTGAGTATGTGATGACTGACAGTTGTCAAGCAGAGAATAAGTTGACAGGGAATAGCACATTGGGTGCTGAGATGCGTACAAACATGATGGTCACACTGCTGGTAAAGCAACAAAAGATAGAGCCGCGATGAAGCAAATTTCCCCTGTAGCTAAGGTGGGTGAAACGTACGGGAAACAATCATGAGGGTTAAAGTGTGGCGCGCAGTGTGGTTTCCGATGAACTCGAACAAACTGAGAAGTAAGCGAAAGCGCCTCGATAGCGGACTATACCGATTAGTTGGTGCATAGATATGGGTTGAATAAACGTCAGGCGGTGCGGAGCAGCGTTGTTCAGTGCGCGCGGACACTTGTTGATTGCCGACTATTGACCGGAGGACAAACCGTGTCCACGTGGTTTCGAACGGTGGTTCTGTTTACCAGACAATCGCAACTGACGTAATGCCTGTGAATACAACGCGAGTGGGCCACACTGACAACAATCAGTGTGATATCCAGCAGAAAGCTTGCTTATCAGAGCCATAAGGATTCAAAAACTTTTGATCGATGTAGAGACAAAGATCGCAACAAGGTGATATCGCAGCCGTTTCAACTCTCCTTGTGCACCAGTTTGGTTTAGTGTCGCACAGATGCCAAATGTCTTTCGCGAACGGCGAAAAGTCTGACCGCGGTAAGTGCTCCATACTTCCGAGTTAAAGCCAGATCAACTGCTCAGGAAACAGAGGAGGAGATACCAAAGTACAGTGCAATAAGAAGAAAACACCACAAGCAGTATCGTTCAACCATTTATTTATACCCATAAAGTTTCGTATGGGGAACCAAGCAGTCCCAGTTCGGCACCTGTATTCTTGCGACTTCAGAAGTTACAAATGAAACAATTATATCTGATCTACCGAACCGCAACATCAATCAGCACCTATGACAGCTACCAGCGAAGCAAGATACAGGTGCAAACAGCAGTTTAGGACTGCTCGGTGCCTGCGTCAGAAGCACTTAGCTAAATCAGTGTCAACTAATTCCAAAAAACTCTGTGCAAATGTCAAAAGACGCAGCGGTTCGAATTTGTTAATTCCTGCGTTGATGCGGGCCGATAGAAATCATGCATGTGGACTACGACTAGGCTTGCCTACTTGATGAGCAATATGCAGCAGCTTTTGTACGTGACACCTCGTTGAGAGGCGTTGAATCGGTATCGTCAAGCTGTACTCGGAGTAACAGAGGCGTTAGCTTTCGTGCTGCTACAAAGGCTGAACTCTTGCAGAGCATCAGGGTTTGAAGTAATCCACTCGAAGCTATTACATGAGTTGGCGGTGGAACTAACTGGTTCACTTATGATGG